TTGTTGTTGTTGTTGTTATTATTACTGTTATTATTTATTATTGGAAGGAATTTATTTAGGACAGTAGGTAAAACTTTTTTATCATTCACCTTTTCCAAGCTAACAAAATATTTTTTTCAAAGGCTTATTTTTAATTTTTATTTTAGTTCATTAAAGTCTTTTCTCCCCATCTAGTTTTTGTTTTTAGTTTTAGGTAACTAAAATGTCCTGGGCTGGCACAGCGAACACACACAGGCCACCTCCACATAGCTGTCAGTGCTCAGTGTGTGAACGTGTCTCTGTAGTTGTAAACCTGCAGCTGAACTTGTAACAAACCTGTCACACCTCTGTTCAAATGTTATCCGCCGAATCTTTGGTTCCTATGGAACAGCCATAACCAGCCTTACCAGTACTTGCAGTTTAACGAGATGAGACACACCCAGCTCTCTTTTGTGTGCTAAAGAGCTCAGACTGTGATCAGATCTGACTGACTAACCCGCAGCAGGGGAACACCTACTCTTTTCTCTTTCAGAGGAATTCCTTTTCTCTGACTTGCACTTTTATTTTAAGAATCATGTTGCTCACATTTGTATGAAAAGACTTACACGCATATGACCCAGTGTGTTACAGAAGAGGAAACTGGTCAGATGATGTGAGAGCTGTGCCACACTTGGATCAGTTGTGACCTGATTACATTTCCCAATATTCCTGCCTTCCCCCGGCTTTTAAAGTGTTCCTTTATTAATCATTGTTTCCTTTCAGCAGTAACGGGATTATTCCCTTTGTCATTTCAGGACTGATGCTTCTTCGGGGATCAAACTGCTCTGTTAGTCTTTTTATAATCTCATCTGTCGACTAAGTGAGTGTGCCAGTTTTTCTTTTTGTCCTGCTGTTGATGTCTCAAGTACAGAAAACCGATGATTCCTGGAAATTAATGTTCTGACAACAAACAGTAGGTCTGCAGGATTTACCCCCATTTTTTTCCACTCCTGGCCTGTATGTTTTTTTTTTCACCACAAGATGGCAGTAATGTCCACATAAAGCAAAAACAAATGTGAAGATACTTTCTGTTATGAGAATGAATAAAAATACACAGATTGTTGTTGTCTGTCACTGTCATTTATTTTTGTTTTGGCAAAATAAAAAAGACTTTGACTAAAGTAAATAAACCACTCGAATATTTCTTCTTAAACCGGTGACTTTTATGAAAAATAGTTGGGTTTTTATTTTTAAATTTGTTTTTTAAGTAAATGTTTTCTTATTTAGATGCATGTACGTATATTAAAAGAAGCAGTTTTCCTGTGAAACTGTGAATTAAAGATCATTTGATGTAAAATGTTAAGTCTTTTCTTTCCTCCTGGAAACTGGCCTCTATGTCGATGGATGGATCAGTTGAAGACAGAGTAGTC